GTAATACACGGTCCTGTATTTGAACATTTCTAAATACAGATGTAGAAGAAGACTTTTTCTTGAAACGTCACACAAATCGACAAGACAAAAAAGGAGTATTCCGAATGTTGTATTATCCTCCTGTTAAAGATGATGTCAGAGATTCTCATGTTGCTCGTTTTGGAAAGCATACAGATTTTGGAACCATAACGTTCTTGTTCCAGGACAATTCAGGAGGAATGGAGGTGAGATAACAAATATACATTTTTTTATAATTCTATATTTACTTTTTCGTTTATATTGAAGTTAATTAAATATATGGAATTAAACAGCTTAATTCACAAGACAGAGGTCGCTGTATAACATAATTCATGGATTGGGTCAGTTACTTTAAACGACTCAAACGGTACTACATGAACAGAGTGTGAACGTTGATTTTTCTTTTGTATCATAGAAACAAACATTTCTTAGGGTCAGGTGGTAAAGAGCAGACAAAAACACTTAACATTATTATATATTTGTAATGTATTGATTGTTAAACACGGGTAACGTACTTATACTTGAAATATATTACCCGAAAAGGCTTAGCGTTAATTGTTTTGTCTTGCTAACTCACCAGGTGAAATCATTGTAAGGTTATCTATAAGTATAAAAGTCGAGGGAGACGATGCACCTAACACTAATGGACACTTATAACAAATTATTTATTATCTTCTGCCGTGGCCCTCCGATGGATCAGCTGTAGGCTTGTGGGCTTTTAACGCTGGAATTCGGACCTCTATCCCTGGGGTGGTCACAGCGCAGATAATTCATACAATTCAAACAAACGAAATAATATCTCCTGCTGTGATTCTAGACCTGTTTTTTTTATATTTTATCCACAGTTCTAGTTACTCGTGAGTTGAATATTAAGTTTCCTAAAAGTCAGAGTTTACTGTCGTGATATGTTTAACACTCTTGTTATTTTCTAGGTGAAGACTAAGTCGGGAGAATGGATCCACGCCATCCCAATAAAGGATACTGTTCTGGTTCTTGTTGGAGACTTGTTATCGGTTTGGAGTAATGGATTATATCCAGCAACAGTGAGTAAATGATGTTAATAGTTTATGTTTGGTAAGTTTTTGTAAATATCAAACACCAAAATAAACAACGTCTGAATAGGGCACCAATAGAATGTGTTTTCTTCCTAGTGTGACTTACAAATGTCTTTTGGAAATTCTTATCTAGAATTTATTATTCTTACATTTCCAGGATTTATTTTACAATAAAAAAGAACGTTTCAGCTATTAAACTAACACTATATAGATGATAGTTAACGTTTCAATAAAACTAATAATCAATGTTTGAATCCCCGTCCCACCAAGTATGAATTATAATGTGACGGTCATTGGTAAAAGGGTAGCACAAGAGTTGGCGGCCAACGAAATAGACGAAGGAACTTCTTTCTCGTCGTCTTTGGGCCTCATCGTTCGGAACAAGCAGTCGATGAAACTGTAAAATGTAACATGGAATTTGTGATACTGACTAGTTACATTCCCTCTAGTTTGTCACTTAAATTAGGGACGACTAGTGTAGATAGCGCTCGAGTAACTTTGCTTGAAATTCAACAAACAGTTTTGTATTATATACGCATTTCTTTAAATCCAAAATGAGATAACTGTTAGTTGTCAGGTTGGTGGGTGAAGAACACGTAACACAGATCTATGACGACACAGAGAAACAAAACTTAGTCGTTGATATATTTGGTTTGAATTTCGCACAAAGCTACACGAGGGCTATTTGCGCTAGTCTTCCCTAATTTAGCAGTGAAAGACTAGTGGGAAGGCCGCTAGTCAGCACCAACCCTAGCGACGATGACGTCTTAGTGCAGCCGCTCCATAGTAGGAGCCCAACGACACCAATAAAAACTTCGGATTACCTTGCTCAAAGATTTTATGGTATTATGAAATATTAAGCTATTTACTTGCAAGTCTAATTTCTTCTCTAACAATTACAAATTTCGTCAGATGATTGCTTATTATTTCTAATTTACCTGTTTTTTGTTTGTTTGTTTTTCTTTTCCGGTGTTATTTGTTATGTGTGTAAACATACACAACTCTTCAGGTAATAGAACCAAAATCAAACAGCTTCGCTTATAAAAAATTAAACAAATAAGACCAGGGTACAAACTACACTGTGGTAAAAGTAAAATACATTTTATTAAGATAAGTAACCTGATGATTTAGGGTCCATACAGCAGTACTGAAACACAGTCTATCACATCCCTATTTGAAACCCTCAGTTGTGTAAAAAAAAGAAAGAAAGAAAAATGATGACGATAAGAGTAGATATGGAAACATAAACCCGCTTCTTTCACCGCATGCAGTCAGGTTGTTGGAAGTTAGTTGCTGTTAGTGAAACATAATTATATTAAAACAGTTTCCTACAACCAAACCCATGAAGGTACGAAGAAGTTTCTTATTTGTAAAGTAGTACATACATAATAGGTGGTTAGGTAATATCGTTCATTTTGTAGTGCGTGTTTTTTAACAGTATAACGGTCACCATGTTTGAATGAGTTTATTGTTACATTTCTGTTCCCACGTTTGTTTTTCCCACAGAGCAAGAAACGTG